ATAACAATAATTACAGTTTCAATTAATTAACAATGTTATTAATCCTTTATGTATTTCGTTCATAAAAAAAAATAATAATGAGCCTAATTGTAGAAAATTTAGAATTATGAAATACGTTAAATTATTTAAGCAAATGTAGTTTTAGATACAGCTGAAATTTACACATGTGGACATGTCACAATCAATTTAAATTTCAATTAATTTATAATTTGAATGTGAAAAATCCCGGTGGTTTAAACACTTCGGAATAAATTATTCACAACCAAAAATTTTAATTAAATAAAAGAACGTGTAAAAATTTAACTTTTTAATAATAAATACATACTCAATTCGAAAATACAAATTGTGTTTTTATGGAAAATTAAAAAAATAAAAGATTTTAGATTATATTATCTAATTACACCAAATTTTATGGACTAATCAAATTTCTGGATATTTTCTTGTCTATACTTTCTTTAAACAATTTGTTACTATTTATAATTTCAAAAATAAATAAATACATTATCAAAGCAAATGTTCCGGTAACAGACATTGTACTAGTAAAAGACATGTTTCAACTCATTAATAAATAATAAACTTCATCTCCACAACAGACAGTGCAAATAAGAGTAGATTTGCAGTTAAAACACTTAAGAGGCTGATGTCTGAACTTTAAGTGATATCGTGCCACAATAGATTGGAGATTGATTTTTTAATCGATCAAGACTGGGATATTTTTTTTCTAATCACTTTTCTTTAGGAGATAAATTAAATTTTTTGACTCATTCATTCAACTGTAGTTTGCCATTTCCCAGTTTAAAAAAACTGTGCAGAATTTATTTATTTATTTTTTAAATTATATAAAACCAATTGAACCCAAAACCTGAGTGTCCATTACTGGTGCATTATACGCTGCGAGTTTTTCATGAATAATTAATTAAGTGATTATAAAGAAAAAAAATCGATAAAAGACTAAATTTGATCCCATTTGCAAAGATTCACATTAATGTATGAAAACTTCTCTTGAAGTGGCTATTATCCGTACATTTATCTTAATATAGTAATAGTCCGTGGTACAGACCCCTTTTTATCAAATTATCAATATCTGCTTGAAACTTCGTAAATTCATCACATCATAACATACAAATATTTTATTTATGAAAATTCTCGAAATTGGGACTTTTTCAATCTGGAGGTCGACAAACTTTGTCTATTTAATTAGGGACTAAAAACTCGTAAATAGTCATTTGCTTTCCACTTGGATCGTAAGATAATTTGATCACATAATCGATAATAAAGATGGGCTACAAAAATATTTGGCCGTTTGGCCTATATAACCTCGTTATTTTTTGACAATTGGAGGGTGTAAGGCATGCCAAACAGCTCAATATTTTTGAAGGTCACCTTTTTTTCTCGACTTTGTGCTCAAGTTATCTTGAGATTTAAATGGAAAACAAATGGGTATTTACGGGTTTTTAGTGCCTAATTAAATAGACAAAGTTTGTCGACCTCCAGATTGAAAACGACCCATTTTATTTCGAGAATTTTCGTAAATAAAATATTTCTAGTTTGCAATGAAATGATGATTTCCATTTACAAAGATTCAGGAAGTTGTTAATAATTTGATAAAAAGATGTCTGAACAACGGACTATAATTGTAAAATTAGCAATGTAAGTTTGTAATATAACATTAATAGTCGGATGATTTATTGAACATTGACAAAATAAATAATTTTCATAAAATCTCTTTATAGGTCGCTTAGCTTAAAGGTTAATTATCGGTCTAGATTAATGATCAAATATAAGATATAAAAACAAGAAAAGAAAATAAGTGATCAATTTTGTTACTGAATAAAAATAAAAATGTTCAACCTTGAATAAAAATAAAAAATATCAGGGAAGCAATCAACACGCGACGAGTTAATGGTCTACGAGTTTAATCAGTACTTAGGAGCTTGGCCTTAAATAAACAATAAAATGATTAAAAAATATATAAATATGATAAAAAAATGTTCGTGGACAATGTTTTCACACTGATAAAAAAACAATATTATTGTGTAAATTAATCCATAAAATGACTGCTAAATAAGACCTTAATTTAGTGAAGCATATAAAATGGAGATATAAGTCAAGTATTCAAATTTAAAAAAAAAAAAACAGAAAACAACATAAAAGATTTTTTTACAAATTGGAGATATTGCTTGAACGCCAAAAATATGCTTGATTATTTACTTAATTTATATGATTCTAGTTTATTTATTTATTAAGAGTGGGCAAATAGTCATGGTACGGTCGATATTTATATTTACCAGGGCTTGAAACGGTAAAAAAAAAATTTTATTTAAAAAAAAATGGAAACACCGGAATTTGTATTCTCAATAGTTTTTTCAGATATTTTGGAAATGGAAATTTTTCCCCTCGCACCTTTTAAAGTAAAGGTTTTACAGAACTTTTATTTTTAAAAAACGGTTCTTTTGATTTCACCAAAAAAATCGATCTAAAAAATGACTTTTAATAATAGCCAAGCAAACAAATGACACATAAGAATCCTGTGTAATTCATTGAAGACAAATTATAACTCTAATCTAAACACAATTATTTTTCAATCAACGTAACTTTTTTTAAGAATTTGAATAAATACAGGTTATACTTTTACCTTAAACCTGAAACTTTATTACGAAAAAGTTCCTTAGAACTTTTATTTTAAAAACTGTTTTCATAAAACATTTCACAAAAACTGTTAAAATCTAATTTTTTAAAAAGATCCCACAAAAGTTCAACTTTTCTGATTGAATTCAACTGATCATAAGTAATTTTTAAAAACTGCAAATATTTTTTAATACATTTAAAAATTATTACACATTTTTTAATAGTTTTTCTTTCCTTTGTATTAATGTGTTACATCTATAGTAAGTACTCATGGCATCGAAACCTATGATTAACAAAAATTGTTAATTATATAAGAATACGCTGTTTTTTTTGGGGAGGGGGAGGATTTATAATTGAAAAATAAATGAGCATTCTTTAAACAACTAATTTTAGTTACTGATGTCATCTAGAAAAAATAAAAATAATTCATAGTGTACAACGAATTAAAATCTCATACAAATTACATCTAATTTTATACCTAATTGAATTGAGGTATTAATTAACAATCCTTCAATTGTTACATAGAAATATTCTCGTGATTATTATTCAACAATTTATTAGACCTCACTTCATACGTAGATCATACAACACAATGTATATACTGGCAAACAGTGAAAACATATCAACGTGATGTAAATACGCAGCAAACATGTTACCAAGGATTCAAACAAAGAGAAGAATTATAATATGGCTATAATTATAATTATTTAAATTGTATTTATTAATTTAACTAAACACTTTATTTTATTTATTTTATTAAACTTAGAAAAGATTACACTGCAATATTTTTGAACATTGAAAACTAAAAACATTCCTATAATGTGAACCAAGCAAATTAATTTAATAAAAAAAAAACATATAACGGAATAAAATTTGCATTTTATTTTCATTCAATATAAAAAGAAAATTCATAATTATTTCTACCTTTTCATTAAAAAAGGATACAATAAAAAATATATGTAATAAAAAATTGTAACAATATATAAAAAAAAAAAATTTTCTATTAATATATTAAAAAACATATTTAGGTGTTTTTGTAAGGCTAACACGGTTGACATGCTTCAATAAAATAAATTAAACTACTTCATGAAGTTTATATTAATGTTGACATTTAGGTAAAAAAATTTTAACTTTAATAAAGTTTATATAGTTAATATATATATATATATATTTATGTTATTTTTTTTTTTCAGTTAAACAATCATAAAAAAATCTGTTGAACGAGTAACTTCCTGGTCTGACTAACTGAAAATCCCAGTAACTACATAATTAAGAGATTGTTTGTTAACAAGACTTGGACAATTTTTTCCCCACTTTAAAAAGAAATTCACGTTTTCCCATCAAATGAAGCACGAGGTATGTGATTTCTTTTAAACTTCTTCATTAAGTAACGATGTTAGTTTCAAGACAGAAAAAAAGAATAAATGGAGAATAAAATTTTTTCAGAAAAATGTTTCAGAATAAATATACAAATTATAACGATAGATGAGAGTGGAGATCTTAGGGGGAAAAAAACCTGAACATAATTCAAAATAAATATAGAACATTTCTCACTACCAAAGGTTTTAACAATTAAAAGTAAGGTTATTTATAATATTCTTGGTCAAATAGAACGTTTCTCGTTTCTTCCTTATTTTTATTACTAATATTATTTAAATGTGTGAAAAATGATTAATTGGTTTAATATTACCTAATTTAACAAAAAAAAATCTGAAAAAAAATAAATTAAAACAATAATAGATAATGACATTTCTAGCTTATTTTGTACAATTTTTAATAATTATTTTTTTTTTTGTGACGGACCGGGTTCATGTATATAAATATATATATGTATATATGAATATAACTTAGTTTTCTCTCAAGTAAAAATTTATTAAAACAACAATTTCAAGTTTTGAAAACTTGCTTAGTTAAATATAATTATACATAATTAATGAGTATTTTTATTAGAACTATAGTAAGCACACTATTAAAAAATATAATTCAATATTTTCATACACTACCTATTTAATAAGACCTCTATATTTGGTTTCATTGTTAAACAATTTCTGAATTACTAATTTGGTAATTTGTAGGTTAAATTTGTAAGTAACGAGTAATAACTGACAATTTTTTAAACAAAAATTCATAGTTGTAAATTGAATAAAAAAAAAAATAATGAATGCGGGTTATATTATAAATACGGAAATTAATTAATGTATTATTAAAGGATGCTTAATAATATAGAATACACAAAAATATTATACTGTAATGGTAAAGAGAGGAAAGTGACTGTTACAAGAGCAACAAAGAAAGTATTGAAGTGGTTAAGGTTAGCCATTACCGACGACTCCCGTTAAATTGTTATAAAAATAAATTATTATTGAAATTACCTTAAGCCGTCGGAGTTTGCCATCCCTAGCTGCGTTATAGACGACGTTCTTGAAATCCATCTTCGCATTCTAGGCAGACTACAAAATGGCTACAGAGAACAGATGTAGGCCTGAGCTGGCCTCAATAACCACTGATCCCTACTCGTCCGAATATGGCCGCCCCGTGGTGGCGGGGTCCGCCGCACCGAAGCGCCACCGTCGCCTTATCCCCACTCCTCTTCCCCTCTCACTCCAATTCCAAAACCCCTATCGATCTATAACTCGATTTTGTTATTAAATTATATATAATCGTACCTATAAGTAAATAGTACATATCAGCGATAACTCTCAAATATTCTCCTCCCTAATGCATTAAATTTACAAAAGATATTAACGAAATATATTTATTTTCATATAGGATAAAATGGGTGATAAATATTCAGGACGCAGTCTTTTTTAAAATTTTTTTGTATTTATGCCAACGTTTCAGGATAAAATATTGTAAAGACAGTCTATAGTCAAGATATATAACTGATGAAGCTTCATACATTACCACACCTGTTAAAAGCAATAATTTATTCAATAAGTGCTTAGCTTGCTCTACTGGGAAATATCCTTCCAGTCTAATAGGCAATAAGACACTGTCAGAGGTACCCGGAAGACGGTTGGCAAGTTGCGCCATCAAAATTTTCGAGTGGAATACATTTGCACGGGGTTTTGAATTTTTGAGGGAGCACATTTCGACGGTTATGAATTTTCGAAATGAAAAGTTCCAAACCAAAGGACAATAGGAAAGAATAGAACAGAAAGTGTAATTGTATATGAACTATGATTTTAAAAATTCAATTTTAGCTTGCCCTGTTATTAAGAAGAGAACAGTGAAGTTCATGTGCCTTCTAGCTTGGAGAGTGGATAAGCACCACTGGACACAATTATCGCTGAACTTGTAATAATCCGTTATTGCACTAGCTCAAAACTTATTTGTTTGGTTTAGAAGAGGCTTGATTTAAGTCCTCTTATACGAAGAAGCATTAGGATTTAATTTTGGGGGGGAGGGCTTCAGTCTGAAAGCTCTTTTATTCATATATATAACGATAATTAATTTTTAAAAAAAGAAAAGAAATTAACTGCGTATATGAAATAGTGTTTAAGTGGTTCTTGAAGTTCTGTTAAATGTAATTATACGAACAATAATACTTTAAGAGGTAGTTTTTAATATTTTTTTTCTATAAAACAGTTATAGTTTACTAATTTTGAGGGGAGGGGAGGGGAGCTTCAGCCCTAAAGCTTTTTTTCATATATATAACGATAGTTAATTTTTTTAAAAAAGGAAAGAAACTAACGATAGTGTTTAAGTGGTTCATGAAGTTCTATTGTATGTAATTATACGAACAATAATAGTTTAAGAGATAGTTTTTAATATTTTTTTTCTATAAAACATGGTAATATTTTATCTTTTTTTTTTTAGTAGGGCTTCAGTCCGAAAGCGCCCTCCCCCCTCTCCCGTAGATTCGCCTGTGCGAAGAAGATAGAAGTCTATTACTAAGAGCATAGAAGCCGTATCTAGTTACGGATATATAATATACCTGTACCATTACAACCAATGAAGGGTTTTGGGTTCAGTGCTTTGTTAGGAAGTACAGTTTCAAGATCAAAGGATGTTCATATATATATATATATATATTTACATATGGCCAACGTATAGATATAGTATGCATATATATTTTTTTTTTTTAGTTTCTTTCTATATTATCCGAAATGCCAAATTTACAATTTATGTCTCCTGAATCGGTTCCGTTATACCGAAAAGTGCAACGACAACGGAAAAATTCCATTAATAGTTATTTGCCGCGCCATAATTTAATGTGAAAAGTCTAACCTATAGCAACTGTAACGTCTTCTAGGATTCATCTAAGATATCTAATGTAATATATATTAATCTTTTTTTTTGCTATTTTTAATCTGTCAAGAATTACTTTAATATCATTTTATATAGGTAGTTAGTTTATCGTAATTATCTTTATATATAAAAAGGCTTCCGGTCTGAAGCCCCTCAAAATTAAATCTTTGGTCCACTATTGGTGCTGAGGATTTTTTCTTACAAATCTTTCAATATTTATTTCTAGAGTGCTGGTTAGAGTTCGGGTCTCGGGAGGAACTTATAAATAAGTTTTCAAATTTTCTTTAACTTTGGGTCAAGTAGGACGAGCCGTTTTTGAAATATATGATTATGTGTTAAAAGAAAAATAACCGCAGACGGAGGCGAGAATAGTGGGTGAAATTTGGTAACACCTAGTATTAACTCATTTTACTTACTGAATTAAAGTCGAAAAAAACAAAAAGTGAACAAAAAAAATTCTTTCTTAGCCAAAATTTGATTTTGCTTATTTATGTTTGTCATTATTATCCGCATGGAACAATTAAAACCTTTTTACCTCTCTAATTCCCATCCTGTCATCAGTTACCATTCCTAATTTTAGCTAATTATTAAGGTTTTAAGGGTAATCTGTGGACTTTCCTCTCGCTGCAGAACAAATCTCCCGGATCCTTCAGTGTTCTTCAAAAGTAAGCAAACCGCCATTTTCACTGACTGCCACTCTTGAATTTAGAATTATGAATAATAAATATTTTCAAATATATAGAAGAACAATGGTAATATTGGCTAGATAAAGAAATTAGTCATTATGTGCCTGATTTCCAATGCGCTAGTCCCAATAGCCAGAATTGGAAATATGCATTTTATTAAAAAGGGTTCCATTGTTTTATTCGATATTTTTCATTAATTTAGGTGCTGCTATGCTCAAGGTTGGCAATTCTATTCCGGCTGTAGCAATAAATTATTTATTCTATTACAACAGTCGTCGTGAATCGACTCTGGGATCAGGACACTCCCCTAGGACTCACCAAGCCTCTATAAATTGGATACCCTTAAATAAATTATTAATTGAGCCTGATCCCGTCCCAATCACCTCCCTTCATAACCGTTTTGTTCTTGAAACAGTACTTCCTTACAAGGTACTAAATCAAAGATCTTTTATGGGTTGTAGTGGTGCAGGATTTTTTAAAAAAATTATTGACTGCATTAAAGCTAGAAAAAGTAGTGAATTTTTAAGTTTACAAAAACAATGAGCTCAACATTTTCAAATTAAATTAGTGTTTGAACCCGAATATTTTTCTAGTATTTTATCTCATGAGAGTAGACTCTAACCATTGCTAGTAAAGATGTTAAGGTGAAAAGTAGGACCGAGCCAAAGAGGCAATTAATCAGGGGAGCTCGCCACTTGTTAGAATTTTTTTTAAAAATAATTAATTTTAGCCTATTAATAAAGCAAATGTATTAGAGAAATTTTGAATGAAATAAAATTCAAATATTACACAATAAATCATAGAGGATAATAGTTTTAGAGAAAAGTTGATTGGGATTTTTATTCAATCAAAGAAAAATTAAAAATAAATAAATTGTACTTTTAGGATAAATTTCATTTTTAGGACAAAAATAAATATTATTTATTTATTTTTACTTGATTGTTTCATTGAGTTAATACCCCAACCAACGTCTCTCCGAATTACATAGCACAAAACAGATTAATAAATAAATCTATTTTTTAAGGAGATGACGTCATTGCCCTGGGACGCCGAATGTCTTAAGGTCGACACTGACCTCCCCTAACAGATTAGATAAAAGGTTCAGTAAAACTAAGTTTAATCTCCAGCTGTAAATAAAGAACACTATAATTTAGAAGCTCTTAATATGAATAAACAAAAAGATAAGCTTCGGTGAAGAAGCTTTTAACATCACGATGTGACTCGGTGACTTCAATGCACGTGTAATGAATAGAATAAGTTGTATTAAAAAAAACGACATAATTTAACTCACAAATCATTCATGAATACGTCAAATATCGACTTTGAAATTTGAATTGCTAATGCGTAATACTTTAAAAAGGTTTATACTTCACAGCGAAAATTATTTGCGGAACATGTTGGATACTTGATAATTGAAAAACACAGATTCTTATCCAGGTGAAATTTCAAATATATTCAAATAAAGTGCTGTGATACGTTCCTGAAACGTGATCCTGCTTGTAAAGGAATGGCGTATTTATTGTTGTAGGTCTTTTGAATAAACCATGAGCCCTTAACCGAAAAAGGACTTAGAGTCGACATTATGGTAATCTGACACTAAAATGAAATTATTTTCTCCATTTAAAACTTGCGGAATTCCTTTATCACCTGTATGATGTATAGAGACTATTCAAAAGATAACGTTTATTATTTTGATCTTAAATCTTTATTCACACTTGCCAACGACAATGCGCGAATTAAATAACAAATAATAAATAAAAGGGATCTAACATACCGTACTGTATCGACCGGAAGCCAATCTTATTCGTCTAGTATATAAATATATATATATATATATATATATATATACATATATAAAGAAGATAATCATCGCCATCTTTTTATTTTATTTTATGAAAAAATATGTTGTTCTTTCCAATACAAGTTAAGAATGTGCAAATTTGATCCTATGACATGCTTTTAAAGATTATTCATACCTTGAAGATAAGGCACAGGCGGATCTACTGGGGGGGCTTTCGGGCTGAAGCCCCCCCCCCCCCAAATGGTAAAATGTAACCATGTTTTACAGAAACAAATATTAAAAACTATCTCTTAAAGTATTCTTGTTCGTGTAATTATATTTAATAGGACTTCAAGAACCACTTAAACACCATTCCATATAGGTCATTAATTTCTTTATTTTTTTTCAAATTAATTATCGTTATGTGTATATGAAAAAAAAATCTTTCGGACTGAAGCCCCACCCAAAATTAAATCCTGGATCCGCTAGAGAGATAAGGTAATGGTGTACGTAATAACAATTGTGAAGAAGTTATACCTACCATATTCGACAATTTTGTTTTCACTTTGAATATGGATTCCTAAATTTAAGAGGTTAAAACTGAAAACACGATTCAAGGGTGAGATAAAAAAGTTTTCACTTATTCAAATAACAGTTATAATGTTTGCCATTGGAGGATTTTTTTTTCATTAGTCAATATTTGGTTCTGTGAATGATCGAGCTAAATACTTGAATAATTGAAATACGTTCTCTTTTTAAATTATCATTTAAATAAATAAGCAATGTCAAAGTCTTTTTTTGTGTGTGTAGTAGCTAGTGACGATGTTAAATGTTATCAACTAAAAAATTTTGGAAA